CATTAACTGTTTGATTCAAATTCAGTTTTGATCATTGTGTGTTCTGAAATCTTTTACTCTTGCCATCTTTTTCATGCCCTGCCTCTATGCATACAGTAAGGCTTCACAGTTTATTCTCCCACATCCTGATTCTCTAGCCATTTGTCATAACATTAGTTCTTTCCAGACTAACTAAAATTTCAACCTACTTAATGTTTAAAATACACTCAAGAAAGACCCATAAGTGAAGACTAAGTTGCAAATCCTCCTCATTTTCTTTTTTAAAAATATTTATTTATTATTTTTATTTTATGTGTATGAGCGTATTGCCTGAAAGTATGTGAGTGCACCCGTGTCGTGACATGCCACGGGGTCAGAAGAGGGCTTCAGATTCCCCTGGAACTCTAGTTAAGGTCGGTTCATAGCTGCGGTGTGGGTGCTGGGAATTGAACCTGGGTCCTCTGCAAGAGCAGTCAGCACTCTTAACCGCTGAGCCATCTCTCCAGCCTCCCTCCTCATTTTCTTAATAATATGTCTCCTGAATATTTTATTACATATAGAAAAGTTCACCTAGTAATGTTTTGCTTTTACTTGCTCAGAAAGGTAAAAATGAATCCTGGCAGCCCAGGCACTATAAAGGGGGAAGCCTTGCACAAAAGTAAAGAATCTTTTCAGATTCTGATGTGACAGAAACTCTGCCCATGTCACAAAAGTAGAAATATAGCACATGGATGTCACGGTCACTTCACTTACAGACAGGACAAAAATGTTCTAGAAAATTGAACAAGTTTCTAAAGAAGGTCATGTACTTCATCACTCCTTTCAACATCTTGTCCCACCCTGGTGTCTTCCTAGTCTTTCTTTGGGGAGAGCTGGAGACAATTTACTTCTGGGGCCTCTGTGTGCTTGCTATGATTTGAGATCCTGGCACACTAGAAAGCGGAAGCCACTGCCAGCATTAATCAGAATTAGTTTTATAAAAATATATTTCTGGGGCTGGAGAGATGGTTCAGCAGTTAAGAGCACTGACTGCTCTTGCAGAGGACCTGGGTTCAATTCCCAGCACCCATATGGTGGCTAAGAACTGTCCTTAACTCCAGTTCCAGGGGAATCCAAAGCCTTCTTCTGACCTCCATGTCATTGCACCACACAGGTGCACTCACATACATGCAGGCAATACACTCATACACATAAAATAAAAATAATAACAGGGAGGTAAAGGAAAAGAAATAACCTGAAAGAGAAGAACAATAAGAAACAGGCCTTAATAAGGGAGATATGGATAAAAATTTGGTTAGTTTAAGGGAGGGGGAAGGGAAGGGTATATAAGGAACCTAGGGGATAAAGGGAAAGAAGGGGCTCAAGAGAGGTAGGACCGTAGGAGAAGGGTATTATTAAGGGAGAAAGGGGTGAAATGGGGCACCTTAAGTGGGAATACCATGATGGAGGGGTAAGACAATGCGAGTGATAAAGAATGCATAGCTTGCTTTGAAAACCAGAGGGAACCATATTACTCCTACAACCTACTTACCAATTATACATAGCATGTCAAGAAATATATGTCTAGGTAAGGTTTACCTGATAACAACTGGTCTTTGCCC